GTGGGTCAAGACTGGTTCCTCAGTGACCGAAAGGTTCGAAATTCACAATATATATATATATTATATACATACACAGGGCAGTAAACACATGTTTTGATGTCTTTGGAATGTGGGTAATATAGCAATGCAGAACGTGCAGTGCAAGAAAACAAACAAGTGTGGAGTCTTGTCTAGGCCGCCGACCCCTGGTGGATGAGTTGCCTTGCGGGGGCCAATGGCGAGATCGATGCAGGTGGAATCCGGAGCTTAAAGATCGTAAAGCAGCTATATATACAGAGGCTTGAGAGATGGATTCCGACAGGGGTGTGCAGCGTAATAGGGACACCCTTTTCCTTTTAGCAGGGGTCTTTAGGGAGCTCCACCGTTTTGATAACTCCAAATGATACAACATATGTGCTTGGTTTGCATATTCCTCTGCAGCACTCCCAAGGGTGTGTTGTTTTCTTTCATTGCTTCCAGGCATCATCATCCTTCGCTCGGGCTCAGTGCTGGTTCAAGGGACGTTCTCAGAGCATCTTGCCAAAGCTGGTGGACAGAAGTAGATTGTTGTGGCTACACCAAAGGCTGATCAAGTGAGAAGCACCACTGATGTCTAAGGTTGTCTCTAAGCTATCCTGGACACCACCTTGTTCAATCAGTCAAAGCCTCCTCCGGCTGCAACCCTAAGGTTGAAGGGCCAAGATTTGCCTGAGCTGAAGACGTTAGTAGCACCTCCTTTGAGCAGAACAGAGGCAGGGCCCTTTTTCCCGAGTATCGGAACTTGTTGAACGTATAACAAAGTGTTGGTGTTGACTCTATCCACTTGTTGCAGTGCCCAAGTAAGTTTCCTAAAGATCTAAGAACCAAATTATCAGTGCGAGCACTTGCTTGAAGCGAAGCGTGAGATCCTGCGTCCAAGGAGCTTGCTCCCTTACTTAATTAAGTAGGCACCTACTTAATAAAGTAAGGAGGCAGGCCACGGGCTTCAAACAAATCCTCGCAGTCGAACCGTTGCTTCTCCAATTGTTGGGAATCGAGAGGCCGAGGCACCAGCTGCAAGACTTGCTTAGAACGTGACCGATTCCGTCAGGAAAGATTGGACTTTCCACTCCTGCTTGATTTTGATGTTGGTGTGCCCACTTCTTTGTGTTACCTTCCTCTTGCGGCAATCTTGTAGCCACATTTGGGCAAAAAGTATCAGAAAACTCTCCAACTCTTTGCATTGGCCCTGGCCTTGCCAACCTCAGCTCCAGGGTGTGCCCATGCACAATCCACAAGATGAGGACTGCTCAAAGGAAGTTTGCCGGATCTCGTGACCCCTCGCAACTTTTATTGATGTGTGGAGGACCTTTAGAAAATAGATACGGTCACACACACATATACTGTATATATATACACTTATATAATATATATATGTCGAAACAAAGTGAGGAATAGTGTTTGGCGGGCAGACGGAGCTTTTTTGGTGAAGTGTGATTGTTCTTCTGATTTTAGGTTCAGTCTGGGTGCGTTGAGGAGGTTGGTTGAGCAATGCTGGTAATGCAGGCATGTCCAGCATCGTTCAAAAATCATCAATGACGGGCAAGGACGGTGTGAAAGTCTTCCTCCCTTCTGTTTGCTTTCCAGGACATGGCAGATGAGAGCGAGACACCCGTGCCAGAAAGGCATCCGGAGGAGCTTCATGGTGTTAGTGAGATGCCTCCTAGTCAGGATTTAGTCGTTTGGATGGGTTGGGTTGGATCTCCATCCGAAGGTATGGCAGTCGACACTGCAAGTTTGAGCCCTGACCACGGGGAACAAACAGTTGAAACTGAAGCAGTTACTGTACTAGAATGTACTAGCGGTCTAAGTTCCTTGAGAGCAGTTCAAACTGCATGCATGAGGCTTTTGTATGCTTTAGTGAAGTGGATCACAATGGAGAAGGTTGTCTTGGGAAGAACATGCAGCAGCCAGAGTGGAGCTTTATCCAAGTTGCAAGCCGAAGCACATATCACAAGTTATCATACAATAACCCAAGAAACCTCCGGGTAACAAGAAGCTACTACTACTAGGAGCAAAGGGCATCGCTACTAGGAGCAAGGACGCCACTAGGGGCTCCTGGCCTTACTACTAGGAGCAAGAAGCTACTAGTAGCAAGAACGACCAGTAACGAGAAGTTTAACTGGGTAATCCTTGTCCACGACCGGCAAGCTACCGAGCAACGTTTGTAGCATAATTGTTTGCCGAGCACGACAGGGATACTGACGGGTTGCTAATTTGAGATCATTTGAGAGCAAGGTGATTGAAAGTGGCTTGAAAGGTTGGGAAGTCGGGGTGCTAGGGACATCATCATTGCTCAAACGAGTTTTTCTACTGAAGGGGTCTGACTTTTGGTTGCTAATTAGGTCACTGGTTGATGTCAAGTGTTGTGGATATTAGGCTCTCGCTTCACCACATTCCCCTACCGTATCTCTGTGACACAGAACATGCATCAACCGTCCGTTTCTTTTCAGCCTCCAAGTGCTTTGTAATTGTAAGGGCTTCGCCCGGGTGCCGCCGACCCCTTTTCAAGAGGAGTGTAGCATGTGTAACTGAAGGCGTTAGTGTCGTTCCGGTGGTTGCCCGTCTGCGGAAAGAAGATGGGTGTTCTAGCCTTAGGCGTGGCCTCGGACAGGCTAACTGTGGCCTGTGCTAAAGCCCACAAAGGTGGAGATGCCAATGCCAATAAGGTTGCACTCTGCGAGGCGCCGAGAAGCGTCTGAGGGGGGCCGTCGCCTTCGGAAGCCTAGAAAAGAAGAGGCTGGCCTCGGCTGCTAGCACCGTACGTGGCAGCCCAGGCCATGCCAAGGCTGCGTGGCCTCGGACAGGCTAGCTGTGGCCT